ATTAACCATTTTCTTCTGAAATGGTTTAAAACGAGGCCAGACATCGCTACCCTGTATCAATCATACTGATTTATCATCAAGACTCAAAAGCTGATGGCTGATCTCCTTCCAGAGTCCATCAGAAGACAAACACACATGGTTTTAGTTCTGGGCCCAAGTGAAATGAAAAAGCACTGTTGCCTGTCAGTGATCATACATCCAGAAGTAACATCCTTGAAGACAGAGACCTGATGACCAACAGTATCCCAAAAGGATGTGTATTGAAACAGAATTTGTTGTTTCAGTCTTTGGATAAAATAAGAAAATATCATTTCCTTAGTCAATCTTCATCACTGTCGTGGTAGCCAAGACAAATATTTCACCGAAATGTGTCGATGTTGTGTAAGACAGATAGGTGGAGTAAAATGAATTTACCATGCTAGGGGATGCTAGCAGGAGTTCTAGCTTCTGTTGTTCTAGGCACAAGGAATAAAACTGTTGCATTGGATACAAAATACATTGTGCATTGGGGTCCTCATCAATCAGGTCAATTTCTTGTGAAGTTACGAAGGTCAGTAAAATGCATTAAACCTCACCAGAAGAGATGAGTTATGCTCTCTACTGTCTTTTCATCCTCTCACAACACCTGAGGAAGAAATGTTTGTTTTGGAAAAAGATATTCAAGTCACTTAGAAAGTAAATAGAGATATCAACAGCTGCCATTTAACTCTTTTCATTTCTGTTCAGCTTCTTGTAAAGAATGCTGTGAAATATAATTTCTTCCACCAAAGAGATGGGACAGTTTGAGAGATCATCATTTATAACCCAAGTGGACCCTTTACTGTACAATTAATCAATCTGCACAATACATCCTAAACTGCATTAAAACATCTGCCCAGTTACATCAATGTCAAACCTGTTGTTACCTACAGTAGTGTTCTATTTATTAGCCAGCCAGCAGTCTTCTCAGGAATCAAATCGACCATGCTGTAGAACTCTTACAGCCAATCCATCATATTTAAGCAAAAAATTAACTTCAATTCCGATTCCAAGCTTTAATGATGCAACGCACGGTAAGCTATTCTGCGTTCCCACCTGCTGAACAGTACTTTAATAGTCAACATTTTGCTGCTGTGTACATAGAGCTGTCATAGAGGCCATGCCAAGCAGTCGAGGGGCCTCAAAGCCAACTACGGCTTAGTGGAATGAGCATCCAAATCTGTTGAGAAATGACTTTGTAATGTCCTACGTGACCCTCTTAGCCCTGCACTTGATGGTCATTTGGGGACAGTGGCCCCAATGCACAGGTCAGTGACTTTTGTAACCAAAAACCAAGGGGTGCTAGGCAATGTGACTACTACAAAGTAATCTTTAACACACATGCTGTCTCTGAGGGTAGCTGTGGAAAGTTGGCCCCGGCCAGTCGACCTTCCTGAAGGAACTGTATAAGGTAACCCGCTGTTTTTATAAAGGCTTTTACGTTTGCAAAAAATAATATTTCCCTGAGGTCATTTTTCTCTCTCTCTACACACAGTTGAGTTCCGGGGTAGAATGTGAAATAGTTAAGAACCATTCCGTTTTTTTAATGCATTCTCACGTGTTCTGACAAATGTATCACAGATCGATTTATTTTTATCACATTATATCTATTCAGTATATCTGATGCCACCTACATACACATCTCAATCCATCCATTCTGACCAGATTGTGCTGATACATACCTTTGCAACCAGATAATCACTGGGAAGCTAATTTAGTGCTAATTTTCCATGGTTGAACAGTACATTTATAAGGCTTTCCTGCTGCCCATAAATAACGGACATTGTTGAAACTTATTCTAGCATTCACAGTTGTAAAATGAACAAGGCTCTTCTGTTGCAACCAGTGCTTTTAAGCAATTCAATAAAATCCAAGGTTTAGAATTGAAGACGGGTGGAGGGATGAAAATTGATTTAATCTGGATCCTGTTTTCTTTCTTCCATTTTGTTTTCTGAGAGCTCAAAACCCTTTCATGCCATGTGAAAAACCTGCTCCCTATAAAGTGTGTTTTTCCACATCTGTTTCTTTCTGAAGATAAAAAGATATACTCTCAATTTCTCATAAGCAACATTTTCCAGATAAGATGGGTATTTAAGAGGATAACTGTTGGCGTTTACCGTATAGTTTTTACTACATTTGTTCATCATCTGTTTGCTCTCCAAGACTTTAATGCTTAAAATATATTGTGCATAAGAGATACACAAAAGAAGGCAGATGCATATTTTTCCTGTTATGATGTTATGTTATAGCCCATGCTGTGCTGAGTGGTTGCATAAGTGTAGGAATTAAGAAAAGTCATCTTGTTTTGTGAGATTCATTTATTTTGTTTTCTATACGTTTTTGTGCAGAAAATTATCTTTATTTTGGCACAAAAGTTGAGAAACATTTATTAATTAAAGCATTTGGAAAAGAGGACTCCTTTCAGACCAAACATTTGCATGAATATTCAAGATGGCATTAGTTGTATCATCAATTACTCTTCAGTGTGTGAGATGGTAAAACATATATTTTTTCCCCTAATAGATTAATACTGTGCCTTATGTTTTACGGTAAGAGGTGTATTGGGATTTCTGTATAATACTTGTGTTTAAACTGGAGATTAATCCTCTACACACAAGGGAATCACCAGTACAACAGTGCAGAAAATGTTTAATATACTGCCAATTTGCTTCTGTGCTGTTACCAGACATATCCATTGATTAATTTATATATATACATACTTGGTATGAAAGCATTGTTAATAAGTGTAATTAGATATAGATTTAAATTCACTTGCAATAGATCTGAAGAATGTCTAATTTCCCTTCTTAATTATGGCATGAATCATTAAAAGCTATTTTAATCCCTTTGATATGCATCTTGAACATAAAACTTCCTCACTCACCTGCACTGCATTGCTTTCAATAAGCAGGGATTCCCCTAAGGGGCTTTTTTCCCCTTTAAAAGTTACCCTCAGCAGCTGGCATTTGTCAAGATGAGCCTACATTTGTGTGCTTTTAGCTGCATAGCTCTCATGTAAGGGAAACATTAAATGCCCAGTTAAGGACATCGAACTTATGTAGTTTACTCCAGCTGCCAGAGATTCAGCACCAGCCTTTTGAAATTGTACTCTGTAGAGGCTATTCTTGTTAGTCCATGACCCAGATAATAACATTGTACTGTAGAGTAGAATAGGAAACTTGCTTTGGCAACAACACATTGTTGTGGGAATACTTTACATTTAATGCATTCATCTAAAATTGAGTATTAATGCAGGTATACATTATAATGATGCTGTACCTACATCTACCTTCAAAAGTATTCACACCCCTTAACTTTTTCCACATTTAGATGTGTTACAAAGGGGGATTAAAGTTGATTTAATTGTCTTTTTTTTGGTCAACAATCTACACAAAATACCCAGTAATGTCAAAATGGAATAATGTGTCTATTAAAAAATTTAATTAAAACAAAACATTAACGTATCTGTATTAGATAAGTATTCAACCCCCCCGCCAAAGTATTCACCTTTGGCAGCGATTACAGCTTTGAGTCTTTCTGGGTAAATCTCTAAGAGCTTTGCACACCTGGATGGTACAATATTTACCCATTATTCTTTAAAAAATCCTTCAAGCTCTGTCAAGTTTGTTGTTGATCATTACTAGACAGCCATTTTCAAGTCTTGCCATAGATTTCCAAGCTGATTTAAGTCAAAACTGCAACTAGGTCACTCAGGAACATTCACTGTCATCTTGGTAAGCAACTCCTTGTGTTTTAGGTTATTGTCCTGCTGAAAGGTCAATTTGCCTCCCAGTGTTTGTTGGAAAGCAGACTGAACCAGGTTTTCCTCTAGGATTTTGCCTGTGCTTACAACCTGATCTCAGAGCATTTCGTATTATTCTGTACATTTTTTGCAGTATTACTGCACTGCCTTATTGCACACAGGATGCATGTTTTGGTATATTTTTTATTCTGTACAGGCTTCCTTCTTTTCACTCTGTCATTTATGTTAGTATTGTGGAGTAACTACAATGTTGTTGCTCCATCCTCAGGTATCTCCTATCACAGCCATTAAACTATGTAACTGATTTTCATGGTGAAATCCCTGAGCGGTTTCCTTCCTCTCCGACAACTGATTTAGGAAGGGCGCCTGTATCTTTGTAGTGACTGGGTGTATTGATACACCATCCAAAGTATAAAATGAGTCAGTGCACCATGCTCAAAGCAATATTCAATGTCTGCTTTTATTTTTTACCCATCTACCAATAGGTGCCTTTTTTTGCGATCCATAGGAAAACCTCCCTGGTCTTTGTGGTTAAATCTGTGCTTGAAATTAACTGCTCGACTTAGGGGCCTTACAGATAATTGTATGTGTGGGGTACAGAGATAGGTTAGACATTTAAAAATCATGTTAAACACTATTATTGCACACAAGTTGAGTCCATGCAACTTATTATGTGACTTGTTCCTGAACTTATTTAGTCTTGCCATAACAAAAAGGTTGAATACATATTGACTCAAGACATTTCAGCTTTTCACTTTTTATTAATTTGTAAACATTTCTAAAAACAGAATTCCACTTTGACATTATGGGGTATTGTGTGTAGATCAGTGACACAAAATCTCAATAAAATAAAATAAAAATTCAAGCTGTAACACAACAAATTTTGGAAAAAGTCAAGTGGTGTGAATAGTTTTTGAAGGAACTGTATGTGTCCTGATTCTTGCCGCAGAAACTCTACAGAATAGTAAACCTTCAGCCAAACTGTTTTTATTGAGATTACTAAAATGACAATAGCAACCTTTCAATTTCATTTAAACTCTCCCTTCCTATTTAACAGTGATTTATGCACCTATCATGGAAACCATCTGCAAACATGGCAGGGTTGGCATTCCCTGCTGAAACCTTTCCCTATTTTCAGTGGCCCGGAAGAAGGTTGTGAGGGCGTGATTCTAAATGATCTGCCATGAGGGAGTTTTCAAATTTACGGAGGTGACAAGTGATGGACATAAACCTGGGAGCCCAGGGACACAAAGAGACCTGGAGACCTTTCATGGGACGGTCATACAAGTTCCCTCTCTCCCCCTGAATGGGGGGTAGGGGTCTCTCATCGCAGGGCAGCTTATTGTGGTGAAAGGGTTCAGTTCTAGGACTTCATTAAGCCCCTCTATTGTTAACATCTGGGTGAGAAAGAATGGCTCTTTCTCTGGTAAATTGTGTCCCGGCTTTACAAAGGGATTTTATTACGCTACGGCGTTGACATTGGCAGCTACTGGCACGCCTGGCAATGGAAAACCTTCAGCTGTTTCAGTCACAGGAGATCAATCAAAGCAGCCTGTTTCCCTGAAGCCTTAGATTTCATCCTGAAACGGGGAAGTGGGAGACCTAGAATAAGCAGTGTGTGACTGTTCTTATTCTAGAGCCCAGAGACTCGGCAGGCAAGTACTTCCCCCTTTGAGCACTTCCTGACTGCTCAGCTCACACACAGTCGGTTGTAACACTGTCAGACTAGTCCAGACAAAACACTTGCTCACACTTCAGTCCCCAGTGAACTAGCTAGCCACTGACATTCCCATCCCATCCATGTGCCACTCACTCTCACCCCCTCTTTTAATATCTCTCCCTCTCTCTTGCTGACTCTCTCTCTCTCTCCTCTCTCTCAGTCTCCATCCATTCCCTGCTAGGGATGCGGCTGCCATAGCAACTGCTGAGTCACTCCCGGCTCTCTGCTCTCAGCTGCCGTCCTCTAATGTGATTGTTTCAGTGAGGGGGGAAGCCAGGCCCTCAGTCATCCACCCTGTCTGCATGCGTGAGCATATTGATCAGAGTACTCCAACACGTACATTTGTTGCAGTCGATTCAGTCGAACGTAAAGATCCATCGCTGCGGGTGTCGGAGCCAGAGGATCCTGGGGGAGCTCTACAGGCCGAACCTAACGGGATCCTTTCAGATGGGCAACTTTCCCACCACGGTGAAGCACTGCCTGAGCTACGAGGAACTGATCCAGGATTATCCATGGCTAGCACGCTGGCTGCAGGAGGAGAAGGTGGGAGTCGTTGTCTTGATTTTGCTGCTCTGCGCACATGACTCACTCATGACATAGAGGGAGGGTGAAGGGCGGGGACATGTGAAAGGACAGAGAGGGGGAATCAGCCAGGGACGTAGAAACAAATCAAATCAAATTTTATTGGTCACATACACATATTTAGCAGATGTTATTGCGGGTGTAGCGAAATGCTTGTGACAGGCACTATATTAAGTGACATCACACTGTGCAAATGCTCTATGCTCTATTTCTGAATACATTCCATTGTTGTGATAAGAGCATATACAATAGTTTGTATGCCTATTAAGTAATAACCAATCTGTTTAATATTGTACCACTGTTGACTTGAGGCCTAAAAGCAGGATCCTGTTCCTCCCCCACTGTCTGAAGTATTTTTATTATCAGGTAGAGAGAGTGCATAAAGTGAGAACCCGGTTACTTCCTCTCCTCCTCTCATCTGTTCCCTCTACCACTGTTAGATGAGTTACTACTCAGATATAACATCCCCAAATCTGTAATATTGTTGTTGGTGGACTGGTTTTGTTGTCAACTGTCAAATAGACTGTAGATACTTTTAGATACTCAAAACGGACACACATTTCACTGTTCAAAGAAAACGTATTTCATGCATTATTAAAGTGCCAGCAGTGACCTGAAGCTGAAGTGTTCTGGGCTTAAGGGCTTAAGGTTGTAACACACATTATGGTAGAAGAGAAACAGAGTTGAGTGTGCAAATAATCATGTGTTAGTGGTACAGCCAGAAGAGACAGCCAGAAGAGGACTGGTCACACCTCGGAGCCTGGTTCCTCTCTAGGTTATTTCCTAGGTTCCTGCCTTCTAGGTAGTTTTTCCTAGCCACTGTGCTTCTGCATCTGCATTGCTTGCTCTTTGGGGGTTTTAGGCTGGGTATCTGTAAAGCACTTTGTGACAACTGCTGATGTAAAAAGGACTTTATAAAATACATTTGATTGATTGATTAGTGTATGTGACAACAGATATCAAATAATGTGTTCAACATCTAACATTACTATTTATTTTCATTTTTTCGTTTTTAGCGAGCTTTAACACATGAATACCCAGAGTATGTTAAAATTGTTGAAGTCGGGCCAAGAGACGGACTTCAAAATGAAAAGGTATATATTTTAATCACAGTCACCCATCTGACATACACAGAACCCCCCCACCACCCATGAACACCCAAATAAGTAATGTACATTTAGGGGAGACTGGGGTTGGTTGTCTACATATTTCTAATTTAATTTATAAAATAGTTAGTTGTTTGAGAGAGTGGTGAATGTGCTGCTAAAAAGGCAAATCTGGGAGGAAAATCCAGGGGATGCAGGCGAACATAACAGACAAACCACTGTTCATGATTCTACTCGTTCGCAAAGAGGCAGGCGCAAATAAATCTCAGTCAGATCAAGAATTGTCACAGTGGCTGATGTGGATGTGGTGGAGGAGTCACACGCAGGACACAGAAGCTAAGTCCAACCGACTTTACTGAACACAATAATATAGAGACACTGGCCTCAACAAAATAGGAGGCGGACTATGCGCAACAATGCGCAAAACACAAGTAATCCAAAGAGCACGAAAACAGTACAGTGCGATGACAGGAAATACAAAGTACAAACGACGAGCCGCACCTGATGACAGGCGAACAATAACACACAATACTTGACAAACAAAACGAGAAACTTATAGGGGACATAATCAACCCAAATGGAAAACAGGTGTACAATAAAGACAAAACCAAACGAACATCGATAACATACAACGGTGGCAGCTAGTACTCCGGGGACGACGAACGCCGAAGCCTGCCCGAGCAAGGAGGAGGAGCAGCCTCGGCCGAAACCGTGACAGTACCCCCCCCTTGACGCGCGGCTCCAGCCGTGCGCCGACCCCGGCCTCGGGGACGACCAGGAGGACGCGGAGCAGGGCGCGTGGGTTGACCACGGTGGAACTCTGTCAGGAGAGACGGGTCTAGGATGTCCCTCCTCGGCACCCAGCACCGTTCCTCCGGGCCGTACCCCTCCCACTCCACGAGATATTGGAGACCCCCCATCCGACGTCTCGAATCCAAGATGGACCGAACTGTGTACGCCGGAGCCCCCTCGATGTCCAGTGGGGGCGGAGGAGTCTCTCTGATCTCATCGTCCTGGAGTGGACCAGCTACCACCGGCCTGAGAAGAGACACATGGAACGAGGGGTTAATACGATAATCACTAGGCAGTTGTAACCTGTAACACACCTCGTTCAATCTTCTCAGGACTTTAAAAGGCCCCACAAACCGCCGACCCAGTTTCCAGCAGGGCAGGCGGAGGGGTAGGTTTCTGGTAGAGAGCCAGACTCGATCACCAGGTGCGTACACCGGCCCCTCACTGCGGTGGAGATCGGCGCTCGCTTTCTGACGACGGATGGCCCGCTGCAGGTGGACGTGTGCAGCGTTCCACGTCTCCTCCGAGCGCCGCACCCACTCATCCACCGCAGGAGCCTCGATCTGGCTCTGCTGCCACGGTGCCAGAACCGGCTGGTAACCTAACCCACATTGGAAAGGGGTTAGATTGGTTGAGGAGTGGCGGAGAGAGTTCTGGGCCATCTCTGCCCAGGGAACATACCTCGCCCACTCCTCCGGCCGGCCCTGGCAATAAGATCTGAGAAACCTACCCACATCCTGGTTCACACGTTCCACCTGCCCATTACTCTCCGGGTGGTAACCCGAGGTCAGGCTCACCGAGACCCCCAAACGCTCCATAAACGCTCTCCAGACTCTGGAGGTGAACTGGGGACCTCGATCAGACACTATATCCTCGGGTACCCCGTAGTGCCGAAAAACGTGGGTGAATAGTGCTTCGGCGGTCTGTAGGGCAGTAGGAAGACCCGGCATTGGGAGCAGACGACAGGCCTTAGAGAACCGATCCACAACGACCAGTATAGTAGTATTCCCCTGCGAGGGGGGAAGGTCTGTGACGAAATCCACCGAGAGGTGAGACCATGGTCGTTGTGGAACGGGCAGGGGTTGTAACTTACCCCTGGGCAGGTGTCTAGGCGCCTTACACTGGGTGCACACCGAGCAGGAGGAGACATAAACCCTCACATCCCTGGCTAACGTTGGCCACCAGTACTTAGCGCTAAGGCAGTGCACAGTCCGGCCAATACCAGGATGTCCAGAGGAGGGTGACGTGTGAGCCCAATATATCAGTCGATCCCGAACCTCGAGCGGAACGTACGTCCGACCCACCGGGCACTGTGGAGGACTAGGGTCGGTACGCAACGCCCGCTCGATTTCAGCACCGACCTCCCACACTACCGGTGCCACCAGACAAGACTCCGGCAGTATGGGAGTGGGCTCAACGGACCTCTCCTCCGTGTCAAACCGCCGAGACAGTGCGTCTGCCTTACCGTTCTGGGACCCAGGGATGTACGTGATCTTAAATACGAACCGGGCTAAAAACATGTTCCACCGCGCCTGGCGAGGGTTCAATCTCCTAGCTGCCCGGATGTACTCCAGGTTACGGTGGTCAGTCAAAATGAGAAAAGGGTGTTGAGCCCCCTCAAGCCAATGCCTCCACACCTTTAGGGCCTGTACCACGGCTAACAGCTCCCTGTCCCCTACGTCATAATTTCGCTCCGCCGGGCTGAGCTTTTTGGAGTAAAAAGCACAGGGGCGGAGTTTAGGTGGCGTGCCGGACCGTTGCGAAAGTACGGCCCCAATACCGGCCTCTGACACGTCAACCTCTACCTGAAATGGTAAAGCGGGATCCGGATGCGCCAGCACCGGAGCCGAAGTAAACAGGTCCTTCAGTCTCCCAAAAGCCCTGTCCGCCTCGGCTGACCACTGCAAACGCACCGGACCCCCCTTCAACAGAGACGTTATTGGAGCTGCCACCTGTCCAAAACCCCGGATAAACCTCCGGTAGTAATTTGCAAACCCCAAAAACTGCTGCACCTCTTTAACAGTGGTTGGAGTTTGCCAATTACGCACGGCTGACACCCGGTCAACCTCCATCTTCACCCCTGACGCAGACAACTGATAACCCAAAAAGGAGATAGACTCCTGGAAAAACAGACATTTCTCTGCCTTGACATACAGGTCGTGCTCCAACAGCCTCCTCAACACTCGGCGCACCAGGGCTACATGCTCGGCTCGGGTAGGAGAGTACACAAGAATGTCATCAATGTACACGACCACACCCTGCCCCTGCATGTCCCTGAAAATCTCATCCACGAAGGATTGGAAGACTGAAGGAGCGTTCATCAACCCGTATGGCATGACGAGATACTCGTAATGACCTGAGGTGGTACTAAATGCTGTCTTCCATTCACCGCCCTCTCTAATGCGCACCAAGTTGTATGCGCTCCTGAGATCTAGATTTGTGAAGACACGCGCCCCGTGCAATGACTCCATCATAGTCGCAATCAGAGGGAGTGGATAACTGTATTTCACAGTGCTCTGATTGAGACTACGGTAATCAATGCACTGGCGCAAACCTCCGTCCTTGTTCTTCACAAAAAATAAGCTTGAGGACGCAGGGGAAGTGGATGGCCGTATGTATCCTTGTCTCAGAGATTCGGCTATGTAAGTCTCCATAGCTCTCTTCTCCTCTTGAGACTGAGGATACACATGGCTCCGTGGAAGCGCTGCTCCTGCCTGGAGGTCTATCGCACAATCTCCCTGCCTATGAGGAGGCAACTGCGTCGCCCTCGATTTACTGAACATGATTGCCAAATCCTCATACTCAGGGGGAATGTGCAGTGCGGTCACCTGGTTTGGACTCTCCACCGAGGTCGCCCCCACGGAAACACCTAGACATCGCCCCACACACTGGGCAGACCACTCCTTAAGAGCCCTCTGTTGCCACGAAATAGAAGGATTATGGGTAATCAACCAGGGAAGCCCCAACACCACCGGATACGCAGGAGAGTCAATCAGATATAGCTGAATAGTTTCCTCATGACCCCCCGCGTCCTCATCCTATGTGGCGCTGTGACCTCCCTAATCAACCCCGATCCCAATGGATGGCTGTCTAAAGCATGGACAGGAAATGGGGCGTCGACAGGAAGAAGGGGAATTCCTAGTTTTAAACAAACATTTCGATCAACAAAATTCCCAGCTGCGCCTGAATCTACTAGCGCCTTATGCTGGGAATGAGGTGCTACCTGAGGAAAATGTACAGGTAAACAGACGTGCACAACAGAGAGCTCTGGGTAAGTGGGACGCCTACTCACCTGGAATGACTCCCCAGTGCGTGGCCTGTTGTCCTCTCCCCTAGGAGACCCTCCCCAGCACCTAGCCGCAGTGTGCCCTCCACGACCACAGTTGGTGCAGGGGACAGCCCCCCTCGGGCTCCTCCTCCCCCTCTCTCTAGCGCCAGCACCTCCGAGCTCCATAGGGCTCGGCTCGGAGGTGCTGGAGGGTGGAATGGACGACCCCCACTCGGAACGTCCGCGGGTGGCCAGCAGGGTGTCCAGCCGGATGGACATGTCCACCAGCTGGTCGAAGGTGAGGTGGGTATCCCTGCAGGCCAGCTCTCGACGGACGTCCTCCCGTAGACTACAACGGTAGTGGTCGATGAGGGCCCACTCATTCCACCCTGCATCCGCCGCTAGAGTCCGGAACTCCAGGGCGAACTCCTGTGCGCTCCTCTTCCCCTGTCGGAGGTAGAATAGATGCTCCCCCGTCGCTTTCCCCTCAGGTGGATGGTCGAACACGGCCCTGAAGCGGCGAGAGAACTCTGCGTAGGTGATGGTAGCAGCGTCTATCCTCCTCCATTAGGCGTTGGCCCACTCCAACGCCTTGCCGGTGAGACAGGAGATGAGGGCGGAGACGCTCTCGTGTCCCGAGGGTGCCGGGTGTACGGTGGCCAGGTAGAGTTCCACCTTTTTTGGGGGGGGTTTTATTTTTCCCCCCCCCTGTTTTGGGGGGGCCCCGGGGGGGAGATTTTATTTCAATGGGGGGTTTTCCCGGGGGGTGGGGGCCCTTTTGGGGGGTTTGGGGGTTTTTTTTTCCCCGGGGGTTTTCCCCCCCTTTGGGGGGTTTTTTGGGGGGGGAAAGGGAATTGGGTTCCCCGGGGGTTTTGGGGGGGGGGGGTTGGGGGTTGTGGACTTATTTTTTGGGTCCCCCCCCCCGTTGGGGGGGGGGGGGGGCCCCCTTTTGGGGGGGCCCCTTTAAATTCGGGGGTTTTGGGAAAGGGGAAAAATTTTAAAAGGGGGTTTTGGGGGTTAGGGAAAAATTTTTACCGGGGTTTTTTAACGGGGGCCCCTTTTTCCCTCCTTTTAATTTCCCCCCATTTTCCCCAAAAGTCCATCCTCCCCGGGCCCCCAAACCCGGGGTCCCCTTCTTCCCTACTCAATTTTTTTTCTTCACATGGGGGGAGGGGGGAGTCACACGCAGGACACAGAAGCTAAGTCCAACCGACTTTACTGAACACAATAATATAGACACTGGCCTCAACAAAATAGGAGGCGGACTATGCGCAACAATGCGCAAAACACAAGTAATCCAAAGCGCACGAAAACAGTACAGTGCGACGACAGGAAATACAAAATACAAACGACGAGCCGCACCTGATGACAGGCGAACAATAACACACAATACTTGACAAACAAATCGAGAAACGTATAGGGGACATAATCAACCCAAATGGAAAACAGGTGTACAATAAAGACAAAACCAAACGAACATCGATAACATACAACGGTGGCAGCTAGTACTCCGGGGACGACGACCGCCGAAGCCTGCCCGAGCAAGGAGGAGGAGCAGCCTCGGCCGAAACCGTGACAAGAATATAAGCATTCAGCACTTTGATCAGTGCTGGGAGCAATATTTAGATGTTGACCCTTAATTGATTTTCTTTATTATGTACTATGTATTTATTGTGTACTATACAGTGCCTTGCAAAAGTATTCATCCCCATTGGCGTTTTTCCTATTTTGTTGCATTACAACCTGTAATTTAAATTGATTTTTATTTGGATTTCATGTAATGGACATACACAAAATAGTCCAAATTGGTGAAGTGGAATGAAAAAAATAACTTGTTTCAAAAAGTGGTGTGTGCATATGTATTCACCCCCTTTGCTATGAAGCCCTGAGATCTGGTACAACCAATTACCTTCAGAAGTCACATAATTAGTTAAATAAAGTCCACCTGTGTGCAATCTAAGTGTCACATGATCTATCACATGATCTCAGTATATATACACCTGTTCTGAAAGGCCCCAGAGTCTGAAACACCACTAAGCAAGGGGCACCACCAAGCAAGCGGCACCATGAAGACCAAGGAGCTCTCCAAACAGGTCAGCGACAAAGTTGTGGAGCAGTACAGATCAGGGTTGGGTTACAAAAAAATATCAGAAACTTTGAGTATCCCACGGAGCACCATTCAAATCCATTATAAAAAAATTGAAAGAATATGGCACCACAACAAACCTGCCAAGAGAGGGCCGCCCACCAAAACTCACGGACCAGGCAAGGAGGGCATTAATCAGAGAGGCAACAAAGAGACCAAAGATAACCCTGAAGGAGCTGCAAAGCTCCACAGCGGAGATTGGAGTATCTGTCCATAGGACCACTTTAAGCCGTACACTCCACAGAGCTGGGCTTTACGGAAGAGTGGCCAGAAAAAAGCCATTGCTTAAAGAAAAAAATCAGCAAAACTGTTTGGTGTTCGCCAAAAGGCATGTGGGAGACTCCCCAAACATATGGAAGAAGGTACTCTGGGCAGATGAGACTAAATTTGAGCTTTTTGGACATCAAGGAAAATGCTATGACTGGTGCAAACCCAACACCTCTCATCACCCCGAGAACACCATCCCCACAGTGAAGCATGGTGGTGGCAGCATCATGCTGTGGGGATGTTTTTCATCGGCAGGGACTGGAAACTGGTCAGAATTGAAGGAATGATGGATGGCGCTAAATACAGGGAAATTCTTGAGGGAAACCTGTTTCAGTCTTCCAGAGATTTGAGACTGGGACAGAGGTTCACCTTCCAGCAGGACAATGACCCTAAGCATACTGCTAAAGCAACACTTGAGTGGTTTAAGGGGAAACATTTACATGTCTTGGAATGTCCTAGTCAAAGCCCAGACCTCAATCTAATTGAGAATCTGTGGTAGGACTTAAAGATTGCTGTACACCAGCGGAACCCATCCAACTTGAAGGAGCTGGAACAGTTTTGCCTTGAAGAATGGGCAAAAATCCCAGTGGCTAGATGTGCCAAGCTTATAGAGACATACCCCAAGAGACTTGCAGCTGTAATTGCTGCAAAAGGTGGCTCTACAAAGTATTGACTTTGGGGGGGGGGGGGGGGTGAATAGTTAGCACGCTGAGGTTTTCTGTTTTTTTGTCTTATTTCTTGTTTGTTTCACCCAAAAAATTATTTTGCATTTTCAAATTGGTAGGCATGTTGTGTAAATCAAATGATACAAACCCCCCCAAAAATCAATTTTAATTCCAGTTTGTAAGGCAACAAAATAGGAAAAATGCCAAGGGGGTGAACACTTTCGCAAGCCACTGTATATATAAATCCCAATATATTTGCCTCCCAGAGTTGCCCTTTTAGCAGCACATTCACCAATCTCAAGCGGCTAACTCTGCCCTCTCGCGGCACAGGCCGAGGGAGACATGAAACAAACTACCCCATCTCGCAGTCAGCTCAACAGGCAACTAGTCTAGAGACGCTGCTGACGGAGTGTTTGCGAGATGCTGGACAAAAAGCAATTTTAAAGCCATCCTGACACTTCTGCCGTGTCTACAGACATCCCCCAAACATACATAAATGAGTGCCCAACTGGTAAATAGTCGTTTATAGATATGTCAGTCAGGTGGCTATCTGCCAGCAGAGACTTATATTGCAGTAACGTTGAAGGGCTCTGGCTAGTATTACTTATCAAGCTAGAAGGATTAAATAAGAAGCTAACGTTAAACGGAGCCTACCTCAGCAGGAGCAAAAAATACGCTATTAAGTTGTAATAATAACTTTGCTTTACAGAGAGTAGGCTCCTGAGACAGACAGTGATGTGGCGCTCAGTGGTGAGGCTGAGAAAGTCCCCCCCTTCTGGACCTCACTAAAACTCAAATCCTAGTTATGGCCCTGTGTCTCAGGGGATGGTTGTCACATGGAATATGGGGTTGGTTGTCACTATCAACATTACCACTGCCAGTATACAATAAATCCCAAGCTTTTTTGTGCTTGTGCTGTATAGAGCTCCCTTCATTGCCTCTCTTTCAAGCACATCTTTTTTCTGTTACACAACCACACATGCACACATGCATAAAAGCTGAACACATGCATACACAAATCTATTCAAAATGTCATGTTATTCTCAAGGCATAAAATGCAGAATTTTGTTAGGAATATCGTTCGATCAAAGAAAGGCTATTTCTAAGACTCGGTTTTCTATATTGCTTCATTTTCTGTTGCAAAAGGAATAAGCTACTAGCAAACATTGTGACGACCAACCCCATACTGGGTGACATCCAACCCCGCAATGGGTCTGGTTGTCACAAATTGACAGAGTGTGTTTGATGGCTAAAAACTACATGTTGGAATAATATATGAGGATAAAAAGGTCCCAATTTCAACCCAAGACCTTGGTCTTTCTCCTAACATTGAAAAGAGTCTTGTAAGATATACTGGTGCTGAGAAATACACATGAGTGTAAAACGTGTGAAAACCAATCCCGGTCTCCCCTACAAATGATTTATGTTCACTACACACTACACCATTACAAACTCAATATGACATATGAAAGCTGAAAGCTTACTTTCTTTGTGGCAAGCCCACATTTAGTTTTGTATTACGTAACAATCATTTTGATTGATTCCTGGTTGATTTTATGATCCCCTTAAACATATGGATTATTTTTCTATGATTACCCCAGGCATGTGTTTCACATTTTCTTCTCAAAAAAGTGATTGATCAAATGAACACCAACTGCCCTTGAATTCTATGGGAAACATGACATAATTTTACCAGATGGCTCATATGTTGTATGTTCAGTATGAGTACAGTATGTCACAACTTTATTGTTCCCATATTCAAGTCTGCTGTAGCTGTACAGATTGACATGATGACAAAGTCAAACTCTGGGGGTACAACACGCTGTAATTGTAGGAAATATGTTTGGAATAAGCAGATGTAGCAGGTGAGTGCCGTAAATTACTCTGATTGCAAAGACATTGCAGCTGAATTGTCCAGATGTCCACTCCACGTATACCTCCAATCTTGAGAGGGGATCAGAATCAGATCCTGAAAGAGCCGGTCTACATTTCATTGTTTTCCAGGAAATGGTTCCAACAGGAGTCAAAATCCAGCTGATAGACATGCTCTCAGAAACAGGCCTGCCTGTGATCGAGGCCACCAGCTTTGTGTCTTCAAAGTGGGTACCGCAGGTAATAACTCTTCTTTGTGTGCCCAGAAAGTGTGCTGAGTGATTTTATTAGGCTCTTATTGTTCTCCCCAGCACTACTGAGGGGAAAGCTGCTCCTCCAGCATCCCAGTTATGCCCTGGACTCGCAGATGTTTTGGGGGGGAAATCCTTGAGATATAGGCCTATTCCGGAACATGTTCTGCAAGCACTTTATTTTGTTTGCATGTGTAAAATATAAGACATCTCACCTCATTAAATAAACTACAGATGACTGTGTTATATCTTTACGTTTTTTTTAGTATTGAGACATATGATGTGGAACAGCTAGCTCTATTTTTATATGAGTTCTACATACTAGTCTCACTTGCCTCTTTTGTCTGTTGTCAAGATGGCGGACCACACTGAAGTACTTCAAGCCATCCACAGATCTTCTCATGTTCGTTATCCAGTTCTGACACCCAACATGCATGGCTTTCAGGATGCTGTAAGCGTTTCATTATTCATGCAAGAAATCACACTCTTTAAAATTAACAGATATCTCCCCAGGCTCCCCCGATACGACTACCGTTAATATGTATAGTGCTACACTACCGGTCAAAAGTTTTAGAACACTCATTCAAGGGTTTTTCTTTATTTGTACTATTTTCTACATTGTAGCATAATAGTGAAGACATCAAAACTATGAAATAACACATATGGAATCATGTAGTAACCAAAAAAGTGTTAAACAAATTTTATATTTGAGATTCTTCAAAAAGCCACCCTTTGCCTTGATGACAGCTTTGCACACTCTTGGCATTCTCTTAACCAGCTTCATGAGGTAGTCACCTGGAGTGCATTTCAATTAAAAGGTGTGCCTTCTTAAAAGTTAATTTGTGGAATTCATTTCCTTCTTAATGCGTTTGAGCCAATCAGTTGTGTTGTGACAAGGTAGGGGTGGTGCACAGAAGATAGCCCTATTTGGTAAAATACCAGGTCCATATTATGGCAATAACAGCTCAAATAAGCAAAGAGAAACGACAGTCCATCATTACTTTAAGACATGAAGGTCAGTCAATATGGACCATTTCAAGAACGTTTCTTCAAGTGCAGTTGCAAAAACCATCAAACACTATGATGAAACACACTTAACCAGCATGGCTGCCACAGCATTCTGCAGCGATACGACCTCCCTTCTGGTTTGGGCTTAGTGGGACTATCATTTGTTTTTCAACAGGACAATGACCCAACACACCCCCAGGCTGTGTAGGGGCTATTTTACCAAGAAGGAGAGTGATGGAGTGCCACATCAGATGACCTGGCCTCCACAATCCCCCGACCTCAACCAAATTGAGATGGTTTGGGATGAGTTGGACCACAGAGTGACGGAAAAGTAGCCAACAAGTGTTCAGCATATGTGGGAACTCCTTCAAGACTGTTGGAAAATCATTCCAGGTGAAGCTGGTTGAGAGAATGCCAAGAGTGTGCAAAGCTGTCATCAAGGCAAATGGTGGCTATTTTAAGAATCTCAAATATAAAATATATTTTGATTTGTTAAACACTTTTTTGGTTACTACATGATTCCATATGTGTTATTTAATAGTTGTGATGTCTTCACTATTATTCTACAATGTAGAAAATAGTAAAAATAAAGAAAAACCCTTGAATGAGTAGGTGATCTAAAACTTTTGACAGGTAGTGTACATCAAAGCTGAGAGTACACTTTATGCCTGAGATTAATGGAAACGATTTACAGTGATTGTTTGTTGCATAATGTTACATGTACAGAATCGATCTCTGTTGCAACTTCCTTCTGTCCTGTTGAAGGTTGCAGCTGGTGCTACTGAAGTGGCCGTGTTTGGGTCTGCCTCTGAGACCTTCAGTAGGAAAAATATAAACTGCTCTATAGATGAGAGCATTCTGAGGTTTGAGGAAGTCATTTACGCTGCCAAACAACAACAGATTCCAGTCCGTGGGTTTGTATCATTTCTCACTTCTTCACCAGAGTAAAACGATTTTACTTTAATATCTTACATTCATTCCATAGGCTATATAGCTGATGTTAACCATGAACAATGCAACATGCAATTCCTTTGCTCAAATTACAATCAAGTTATCTGTGCAAGAGTTGATGTTGATGATAAACAAAATAGTTTGTTCAACATGTGTGTTCACTTCGCAGGTGTGTTCTGAAATACTGTATGTTTACGTTAACAATTTGAGACTTTGAAAAAATAAACTACAGTAAAATGTTTCATAGGCCTATTGTTACTCTCTCTATTAGCAAAGGAACACAGAGTTAAATGACTCCAGAAATAATAGTTTAATAAGCGAAGTTCCAGATGTGCACTGCATCGCTCTATGTGTTACTACAACTACAAGTCCAGATGTACAGTACAGAACTGCTGACATGAAGCATGTTTAAATTCAGCGGTACAGTAGCACCCCTTTTAGCCAAACAACGGCACATTGACATGACAACGCATCAGTTTGACACAGGCGTTCTGGCAAATGTGACTTAATGCCTGCTGTTGGAGATGGTTAGGGCAGAACTCCCTTCCCTGGAGTCCAGCTAGAACTTGCTGGAAATTCCGGTTGCAAACTGAAGTATCATCTAACGACCGAGAGCCCAAGAGAAACATTTTCTACTTTTCACATGTTGTCCGCTATTTCAAGCGGTGAACGTTTCCTACACATATGGAATAGACATATAGTTTGACTTCATCCCCTGCATCATTTCTCATTAATACTGTCAACAACATAAGGAACATATAACAAAATATTCAACACCAATTCGATATAAAATGTGAAGTCTATATTGCACTGGCAGTTAGTGGCTAGTGAATCGAGCAAAAAGACCTGTTCATTTTATGCTCTACCTTAATTCTAATGACAGACAGAATAAATTATGAGTTTTTGACAGGAGAGATATTACATTTCAGTACAATTCACTTTGTGACATTTGCCAAAGTTTGCATGTTTATGACCCATGTATTAATATATGCCATGTGTGTTTATGACCCATGTATGTTTTCTTTTAGATATGTTTCTTGTGCACTAGGATGTCCATACGAGGGACCCATTGATCCCACTAAAGTTGCAGAGGTAAGACACAACTTCTGCATTGTCTACTTTATATGTGTACATGTAATCTAAACAATGTCAAATCTCCATAAGGATCGTTTTTATTTTCTAGACAAAGAGAAAACATTCAAATGTCTGTAATGCTGTAGCTATGAGCTCCTGTCTGTTTCTCCTGTATGTCCAAGGGACTTGTTTTGTTAAGTTGCTCTATTCTTGGCTGTAGGTGGTGAAGAGGTTGTATGAACTGGGCTGCTATGAGGTGTCTCTGGGGGATACTATCGGTGTGGGGACCCCAGGCTCCATGGCCAAGATGTTACACAGCGTCATGAAGGAGGTACCCAGCAGCGCTCTGGCCGTTCACTGCCATGACACCTACGGCCAGGCCCTGACCAACATCCTAACTGCACTGCAGGTAACCACTGACAGTAAGGCGCAATATGGTTTATGTCAATCATGTTATTTTTTGGAGACCCTGATAAACTAACTACATACGTTCTTTTTTTTTTTTAAGTAACAATGTGGCAATGTGACATTATCAAGTGTCGGCCATAGATGGTATCATAAATGATTTTGTGTGCCAAACTTATGTGCTCAGTTTTATGTGAGAATTGAGGAGGCATTGTTTGCGTGACTGAAAATATATTAATAAATAGCAAAAACAAAGGTATATGTTACAATACGACATATGAAAATAGGAGAGGACATATCACTCAATTTGGAATTGGGAACATGATCTGGGAGTCCCCTACAAAGGAAAATAATACAAAAACTGCCCACCCCAAAAAATCCCAGAATCATAATGAACATAAGATAGGTCTACTGGGCTCTCCTATTACCAGCACCTACATTAAAGAGAATAAAAGAGTCTTTCACGGATCATTAATAAAGCTTTATCCTTTCCTTAGACCACAAAATCTAATTAAGTTGTACAAAAGCTTCCTGTAATAGCCCTCTTTCTATGGTGTTTTTCACCACCTCTCTGGAGGGAACCTATAACCTGAGAGTCAGTCGGGACATAAACCAGTGGTAATGTAGACATGGCTGTATCAGTTCTCTGGGGCGCCCATTGTGCTCTGTCTACCAGTTTGTCATCCTCGGCAGTGGAGGGATGCTCTTGGGGGCTGGGTGGGTCAGCAGATGTGAGGGTGTCCACACAAAGGCTCACCTATTCGGTGTCTGTTTCACATGACAGTGCCCTGGCCTTGACAAAGGTACTGAGTGCGAGGGGGGAGACAGGCCAGCCCTGAGGGGCTCCCAACTCATCTGTCGCTTGGCTGTTGAACTATCTGACAATGCTGCACTTAAAAGGCACAGGGAAAATGATCCTTTCATTGGCCCGCTAAGAAACACATGGCAAATGGAGAATGCGAAAGAAACCCGTCCTGAGCAGCAACTATGTAACTGAGACAGGCAGGATGCAGTGACTATCGCTGGATTCATTGAGATATGTGAGTCACGGTCAAGTGTGTAAGACATTTCAAAAAGAGAAAAAATCTAAATGTGAAGAATAAGGAATCATTCACTTAAAGCGGCAATCTGTGATTGCTACATCCATTTTGGGATTTATTTTTAAATGAATAATATATAGCTATTCATTCTTGAAGAATATAACTTATAAATGCATAATGAGCTTCGTTCAATTATCTTACCTCATCACAACCCAAAATATAAGCTTGTTTTACTCATTTGTTTGTAAACAAAGTAATTGTAAACAAACACTCTATAGCCTTGATTTCATGGATGGTCAGTCCTTGCTTCCATAGCTCCGTCTATGAATTTGAACATAGTTACATTTCTCAGCCCCGTCCCTCAGCTATATACCAAATCAGTGGCTTTGTTATTGTTTAAACTGCAGATTTCCACTTTAAGAAAATCTATGACCATTTTCATGGCTGTGTTGCAATCCCACTTACCCTAAGTAACCCAAAGTCTGCATAACATGGCTTTACTTATTAATTTATCTACTTCCATGTTCAAGGAATTGTACATGTTCACCAAACAGCTTTTTGGTTTTCATTTAAAAATAGTGTTACAACAGATCCTAATGTTGGGCACTTTTGACAAGTGGTGAGAAGAACCAGAGGGTGGGTGAAATTCCTTTCTGTGGATCACATTGAAATTGATTTATCGCAGCTGCCCAGTGACCACTGAAAATAATAACAGCAGCGTGGATATGTAGACAACCATTTGTCCTCCTCCTATCTCAACAACTTCAGTGGAAATGAAAGATTTTATCATAGACTTTTCATTACTGAGTGCCAGTAGTCCACACCACCAACTGGGAGAGAAATGAATTCCACCATACCCTGTCAGACCCTTGTTATCTCTGCTTTTGTTCATGATAAAGACATTCCATGCTCTTTGTACTTTTCGTTTGAGAAGTTCTGGGGGCCTTTGTTACGAACCCACCTTTGGTAGGTCACACAATGAGAAAGTATGTACTTTATTTTTCAGACTTTGCTGGGAAATAGATTGGATCCGGCCCAACGTTTCCATGTAAACTGCAGCTGAATGTTGGGCTATTGATAGAACTCAGTGTAGCCAGATGCTCTTGGCTGAGAATTCAGACCTGTTCTTACGGATGTAGGATCTTGCTGAGAATTTTCCTGCACCGCAGGAAATGCGGATGAGCTTTGGGATTTACATAAATTCACTGAAAACCCACACTAACACACGGTTATATTAACAGTATTTCACTTTTCATGTAGCCTACATTTGGCCAGCTAATAGCCTAACCACCGATCAAGCAACATTATGGACTAAACATTCGGTTTCTTCAGGATTATTTTGCTGTGACAATATAGATCAAATTAAGATCCTACATCTGTACTCACGGTTAGCTCCTCTACACTAAGCAAAGCAAGTCTGAGCCAAAGCTCATTGACAGGGCTTTAATCTTGTGACTCTCTCTAAATATTTAGTGGAAAGTATGGATGTTATTCTGATAATGGGTGTAAGTGGGTCAGTAAGGGACACCATTCCATCTTGTCCAATACTTCTAAATACTCTAGATGAGTGTTTTACAAATGGTGGCTTGAGAGACCCACTAATGGGTTGTAGCTAATTCCTGCTGGGTAGTGGTTTGTGCCAGGGTCCAGGATAGAGATGTTTATGTTTACTTGTGGTTTACAAGAAACCTCCCAAAGCTTTAGATGGTCCCAGAACCAAAGCGTTTGAGAACCACTAGTGACAGAGACAAAGTTGTAATTAGAATGATAATGTTTCATAACCATGGTTATGACAAATCAAACAGGCATGTTGTCCAATAAAACATATAGTTTTGAGTTAACCCATACAATCCAGAGGACAGTACATTTGAGCTGTGTAGGTATAAAGTTGAGCGTCATTAAAGTGAAGTGAGATGGGTGTAAAGACCTGTCAGTGGTAAACAAAAAGAATGGCTTGTGATCTGGCAACATTGCCGACATGACAGACTACAAGGAACTCCCATTTAATTGCCTGCTGAGGATATTAGCTTATTAGAAAAGGCCTGTGCCCTAGAGCGTGGTGCAGGAGTCAGTGTTTGTGCCAGGTGATGAAAGCCAGTAACTTGGTGGAAAATATTCCTCTCCATGTGCGCTTGAGATCAAGGGCTGGATTCAATCCGTATCAGAAGTATCAAGGAAGATCCACTTAATAGCTCAATTTAGATTTAAAGGCAATGTTCCCGCGTTCCCAGAGACTGCATTCACGCTAAACGTTGCATATGTCTGCTCAATTGGAAATTACCTTTATATTTTAATGGGGATCTTCCACGATACGTCCGTAATGCAGATTGAATCCAGCCCCAAGACAACTTTCCCCTCTGCATGGTCTCTTTAGAGCACGAACACATAAAGAAATGGTGCCTTATTAAAGAGTAAAGCACTATCAATTAATCAACATTATGTTAACATGAGGTGCTTGCTGCATCCCAAGGTGGAAAATGTGTATTTTCATATTCTAAAAACCATGCATATTAAAGTAAACTCTACAAACAACAAAGGATAGATTGGCACATGAAGTGGTTTAGCCCATGAGGCAGGTGAATTTAGTATTTATTGAATTTAGTGTGACTTACTCCTTCAGCTTACTGTACAAACCTTGGTAGTCAAATGCTTTGAGTGGTTTCTAATGTAAGAGGTGCTTTCTTTAAGAGTGAGGTCTCTACCTGGCCAATGACCTCCATAGTCCAACAAGACAATATACGGTTTTCATGCTTTAAGGTCTTCTTAGTAATCCATGTATGTTTTTGTCTACCTCCCTATTAGCCACAAATATCAAGGAAGAGGTTGTGGCTTTACAGTGGCAGGACTTATTTATTGCTGGAAAGGGCTGCTCCAGGTTAAAAATGGGTCAGCCTTGCAAGCTACCATTGAATACAATCTCCTTCAGTTCCACAGTTTATGTAGAGAAATGTCAAGGCTGAGTTGGCGAAACCTTGCTGCCTCAAACCCTTCAATGAACATACCCTTTCTGCCCCAACTGACGCACGGCCACACTTAAAACAAACAATACTGGATAAGAGTGTGGCCATCTCTCAAGTTGTTCACTTACAGTGTATAAACTGCCTTCCATAATCCCATATCATGTGATGTGAACAGCCAGAGCACACTATAAAGTTTATTTAGCCAGGAATGCATTGTTTTTATACGTCCACGGCTCACTGAATGTGGCTCTTTAACAGCCAGTCCACATCTGGTTTCTGAGCTGTGAGAGGCTAATTGAACGCTGGCAATTTGGACTTTCTGACCACCAGTCCCTGTGCGTATTGCGTCCCATAGAGCAGCAGGAATCAGACGTGCTGTCGAAAGGGATCGCTGTGCTCTTGGTGTACCCTGGTCCACCAGAGACCCTCTGGCACACTCACAGTTAGCGGCAGAATGCGAGAGGTTTGGCACGGTAAATTACAACTCTGTGTTTACACAACAAAAAAAGTCTGCCCAGTACAATATCCTGCCCTGGAGTTAACTAAGGTCTGGAAATCTCTTGCGCAGTGCACACCGGAGTGGATCACCTTAGCCAACACAAACAGCAATTACAGGCGGCTGAGACAGGCCCAGGATGAAATAGACCCTTTTCTCTGAGAAAAGGCACCAATTAGGAACATTGTTCAGAGAGTAAACGGTGCTTCCATTATTGTTGTTTGCTTGGGTCTGTCCCCCAGGGAGAGAAGTCCTTCATGGTTTCAGTCTGTGTCCCTGTGCCACAGCAGGGTCAGTGGGAGGATAAGCGCGTTAATTTTGTCTCACCGTGGGATCCTCTGACATCTGGCTCTGCCACGGAAGCAGGAAAAGGTCTTTAATATTCTCCTGATGGTCGTTGTTATATGTGGAAAACCTTTTGGATAATTTTATCTGCGATGCTTCTGAAAAATAGATGCTTGGCTTCATAATTTGTCCCGATGAAGACGCAAGGTTCCAAGGCTGTTGTAAATAACCTGATGGCTTTGAGGCCTGAGGTCCTCAGAGGCATATCATTAGTCGTTTTCCCCCATCCTGAAAG